TCAATATTTGTGTGTTTGGAGCCAGGAGGGCACCCATGAAGCTCTCTGTGGTGGCTTGTGTAGGGAAGAGTCAAGAAACATTTCAAACTATCCCAGATATAAGTGTCTGAGAAAGGACCTGCATAAAACTCAAAGTTTTTCCCACTAAAATAGAATTCTCAGGTGCCCCAGGGGTTCTTGCTTTTTGAAAAGTGATCTGTCTATTCCACCTTCACAGCACCCTGCCTTGTTTCTTGGTAGGTAAAAAACTAGGAGGTTTCAGAGTGCTCTGGAGTTGAGAATTTTGGTTCCTCTTCTGCAGTTTTTTGGTGGGAAGGGGAAACAGGGATCAACCAGCAACTGCAATGGCTGTTTGGGTCTCTGGGGCATCCTAAAGGATGGCATAAAATTATTCTCTAAACCTCAGTGAGGGAAAGGTGAGTTCCTGCCCCCCTTTTCTAGAAACAAAGGTAATGCATGATCTTGTGACACTTGAGCTGGTGGAGAACACTGGAACACCTTTTTCACCGCTGAAAACTGCATTGCTGAAAGCTTGTGAAAACAATAATTTATTACTTAGAATGCAACGATTTGCATTCTGAGCAGCCAGCCAGGATTGATAGCAGAAAGAAGATGGGAGATGCTCCTCCATGATTTGCACCATTCTTCCAGCTCGCTGTAAGGTAGGGAATTCTATCTGTGCTCCAGATCTGCTGACTTGTCCCAGATAAAAAACTGTTCACACATCACTGGGGTGCAAAATTCTGGAGTGAATTGCACAAAACTATGTGAAATTACATAAATAGTATAAATAAATAAATAATAAAGAATAAACAGTATATAAATAAGTGCTATAAATCATAATATTATTTAATATAATGATATTATATATTACATTATAGTATTATATAATAGTATAATAATATCAATATAAATAAACAATAAATAAATAAAATGATAAATACATAAAATAAATTATAAATAAATAAACAAATAAACAAAAACTGATCTCTGAAAGCTTCTGAAAACTGGAGGGTGGTTTTTGTGTTGTTTGGGGTTGTTGTTGGTGGTGTTTTGTTTGTTTCTTTGGTTTTTTTACAACTACTTTTCTGTGTGGGTATGTATTTGGGATTTTTCTGTTGGTGTGGGTTTTTTTAAATTTTGGTTTGGTCTGTTGTTGTTGTTGTTATAATTATTATTAATACTAATATTAGTATTTTGGCTGATAACCCAGAATTTCTTGGGAAAACATCTCCAGATGGGATGCTAGTGGTTTTTCATGCATATTTTTAAATGTTGAAGCTGATTGATGCAAGCTCGTGTCACATTTCTTGAAATTAATAGGGTGAACTCGTGGGAACATGGAATAAGAGAGGTGAATGAGTTTCCAAGTTTGAAACTATGACTGAGAGAGGAATAAGTGCTATTCTTAGCAGAGGTGCTGGGGAAAAAAAAAAAAAAAGGAAAAGGAGAAACTCCATGAGTATTTGTTCAACATTTTGCAACCCACTGCTTGAAGCGTAAAGATCATTTTGGCTTGTGCAAATCCCAGCCACTCACAGTTTCAGCAGGAAAACAGCACTGCTTTAAAAAAGCTCTGCTGTGATAATTTAACTCATCACCCTGGTGATGCTTTGTGGGTCTCAGAATTGGGGTGAACTCATGCACAGCCAGAAGGAGTTCAGCAAGGATTCCAGCTGTATTCCAGGTCTGCAGATGGCTTTGAATTCCATTTCAGGGCAGTAATGCTGGTTTTTAACTTCTTACTTGAGTGCAACTCAGCTGGGGTGGCAGTGCCTTGCTCACTGGCACTTGTTCAGCCTTGTGGGTTTCTTGGAGCAGGAGATATGAATAGGAATAGACCATCCTATAAATTATTATGGGGCAAAGGATGTCTTCTGTACTTGAATCTCCTGCCTAGCTTCAACATGCCCTCAGATACTTTGCTTGACTTTATTGGTTGGTTTGTCATTGTTTTTACACTTACTGCATGAAGAAAATATCTGAAACACCTTTTCTTATACTCTGATATCCATAATCCCCCCCCCCCACACACATATATATAAATGAAAAACTACAACTAGTGACAACCCAGAAAAGAAAAAACAAAGAGCTAGATACTACCATACATCCATCATGCAAAATTCAGCCACTTTTCTCAGAATTTTCTGGCATCTGGAATAAATATTGATATTCTGTCTTCCCCAATTTAATATTGCTTGTCTTCATAAATACTAGCTAAGCACATCTTCCTGGTTTTGTTTTTTATTTTCTCTTTTATTGAGGCATGTTTGACAGATTTCCACTTGTTTCAGGTGAAAAACTTTTTTGACATAAAACGTACATATGGGTAAATACTGACTTTGTGGCTGTTAAGATTCATGATTCCTTAATGCCAGCTTTAACTTAGGATTTGCTTAGGATCTCTGTGCTTCTGGGGACAACTAATCTCCGTTATTTACCATGGGGTTCCATATTAAAAGCACATAGCATTTAATTCTATAATTGTATCCCTTTTCCGGTACATGCACTGATTTTGTGTGAAAGTGGTTCTTCTGAATTCAGAAAAATATGCTGTAACTTTCAACTTCCTTTTAAAAAAAGTAGAAAGGGATTACCTGTATCTGCTCTGCCAAAGTGGGATATCAATGCAGTGCTGTAGGCAGAAATTTGAATTAACTTTGCTGAGATACAGCCAGATTATTTCCCATGTGCTTTAAAGCTTTGCATTCAGTTGCATCTTCTGATGCACCAGCAAACCCTCCAAACTCATCAAGCAGCTGATGGATGTGTTTGTAAAGGCCTGGGTAATCATTATATCTGAAATTATAAACCCACTGTTGTACTTAATGGGGTCAGTGGAGCAATCAGGATAAAAATACATAATTCTGCAGTGTGGGTCTGTAAGCATGGTACTTCTTAAGCTTTTTAAGTTTAATGAAGCAGCTGAACATTCTTGTTAAACAGTCTCAGCATGGATTTTAAAACTAAAACGTTGCTGAACACCATGGTCTCCTTGGAGAGTCTGTGGCTCTTATTCCCTTGAAATGTCTGCATATTTTATATGTTAATGGTTTTGACATCAGCCATTTGCTTCATTTTCATTGTAAATGAGGCCCAGAGTCCGATTCCCTTCCCCATTCCCTTTACACTCTCTGCCCTGTAAGCTGTCTCACCAGCCTCCAGCTCACTCCCTGGGGCACGTGTGGTCTGAAAAAAGCTGAAGTGATCCTGCAAAACAAACCTGTTTTCCTACTTTAGATGCCTTTCTAGGAATATGAGTCCCTGTGTGAAAACTTGTCTGGTACAAGTGCTCCAGCATCCACACCAGCCCTCACATGCCACAAAACCTTACTGCCAAGGACATCCCTTCAGGGTGCTGCTCTTCCTCAAACCCAGCAAAGTCAAATCACAGGGCTTCTCCCAAACCCTTATATAAACACCCCTGTTCAGAGGTTTCTGTTCGTGTTTGGATTTTAAAGATTCTTCTCAGCTGCAGTGCTGACACCATACAGCTGTGCTGAGTGATGCAGAACGCTCTTTTTTGAGGGGGAAACTCCTGATTTTAACATGGGAATATCATCATTGCAACCTGCAAGGTTTGCACAGGACTGCAGCCAAGTGTCCCAAGGTGTGCTGGGGAATCTTTCCCTGTTTTGCAGAGGGATTAACCCACCCTGTGTGTGTTTTTGGTGCCTGACCCAAAGGGCAGGGACACAGCCTGGTGGAACCCTCTATGACAAGCACACCCAGCCAGGAGCATCCATCCCACCAGGACATCAGGAATTTACATGCCCCGCCTCTTTGTTGTTGGAATCTGAAATGCAGGGAACTCTCAGAACTTTGGTCCTGTTAGACAAAACTTAAACACAGGATTTGCTCTGAGACCTTGGAAAAGGCTTCCAAACTTAGGTGCTAGAAGTGAGAATGTGGATTTATAGTTTAAAGCAGAGACATATTAAACTTAGTGGAGGAAAGTGTAGAGTTTTGGAGTTTAAGATATATAAGAAATAAAAGTAATTACAAAAGTAAACAAGGAGTTTATAGTGTAGTACTGTTGGTTTCTGTGTCATAACATGGTTGGCTAAGAAATCTCATTCTGTAGCATGGGCCCATAAGACTAAATATTTAAGGATTGGGTCAAAAACATAAATATCATTGTTGGCCGTGTTTTATTGGTCAATAACTCCTTAAAAGGTCTTGTATCTAGGGGTCTTGTGACTTTCTGAACCATGCTGTAACAATGTGTGTTGAATTCACCTTTCCTACCTATGTAGGAAAAAAAAATAAACCACATCATCAAAAACAACTCAGAAGTCCCATCTCAAATTCCTTCCAAAATTCCCCACAAGTGAAGTGTCACACTTGTTCCCAGCACAACCCTTCCTTCCCAATTGCCATGTGTGATTGCCATGTGCAAAACACATTCACACAGAGAGAAAGAGCAAAGCAGAGGAGAGAGGCACGGGCAGGCTGCAATTTCTGCCTCACCTTGTGGCATAAATTTCTGCTGCACGCAGGCTGTGATTAAGCAGGTTTCTGTGACTACAGCCCTGTACAGGACTAATTGCCAGGTCTGTGCTCTGCTGCAGGTTGGTGATACAAGACACTAAGCAGCATTTGAGGTGTTTTCAAAGGGGATTTGAAGCCAATCCACTATTTTCTCCTCCAGTACATGTTGGTAGACAGTGGCAGCCTTTAAATTTGAAAGTGCACAGGGTGATGATTGTATATATCTTTGAAACATTTGGAGGGGGGGTGACAATTTATCAGGGGGTCCCTATTTATCACTGATGACCTCAGGAGTCTGTGGGGAGAAGAAAGCAGGGCTGCTGCCTTGCTCCTTGTGGGAGGTGCAGGCTGTTTTCCTGCAGCGCCTAATATCGCAAACCCCCTTTCCCTGCTGAGTGGGCTTGGGAGACCTGGGCTGGGGAGTGAGGGATGCTCCTTCTCACGCCTGCTGTTGGTCAGACAGGGAGAGATGTGCCCCACAGCACCTCCCTGTCCCTGTTCCTGCCTAGATGGGGACGCGCTGCCCAGCGCCATGAGGACCAGCCGCTGCAGCCACCTGCCTGGAGTCCCTCCGGAGTGCCCGCGCCCTCCGGCCCTCGATGGCAAGAGCCTGCCCGGCAGCAGCGGGGGCCTGGCCACCAGCTGTCCCCAGTATGTCATGCAGGTGTCCTCCAAGGACGGGCAGCTGCTCTCCTCCGTGGTGCGGACCCTGGCCGTGCAGAGGTACGTGGGGGACAGAAGGAGGGACAGGCCCCTTCCCCTCTGGTGAGATCAAAACCCCCTCCCAGCATCACACTGCAGAATGCATCACGCTTCCCAAAACACTTCACCAGCCCCTAGCGTGCTGAGCAGCCAGACAAGCTGTTTCCAGCACCAGTATTGCAGCTTCTGTCATTGTCCGAGTGATTGACCTTTCTTTCTGCTGGTGGTTTAGAGAGGCAGATTAGTGGTGGAATATATTGTTAATCTATGCCTTTGATGCATGCCTCAGGCTGGCTTTGTTCTCATTAGATGCAAGAAAGAGTATTTTGATGTGCTTGGCCTTATCCAGACTTGATGCTTGGGTCAAAATTAAATTTGTCTGTGCTGGTGGTGAGCTGAAAAGACTTCATGGATCTTAAAGCAGTGCAGAAGAAACACCCACCTGCGGCCACACAGCAGGGATGTGTTTGGCACACATCTGTTTGTACCCCTCTTTGAGGTGTACAAGGGCTTGCCTGTGGGCTATCCCAAAGAGAGGGAAACCCTCTCCAGGCAGAGGAGGTTTCTGCCTTCATGTGCTTTTCTGGAGTCGTGGCCCTGCCTTCGAGGTACTACAGGGCAGTAGTGAAAGGTTTAAACTACTTTAAAGTAGTTAAAGTAGTAGTAAAGAGCTCTTTCAGCAGCCCTTTACTCTTGGCCAGTGAAAACAATATTTAGGTCAGAGGGTCACCAAGAAGTGCCCAGCTGAGGCAGATTTACCTCTCTGATTCACTTTGGGATTTCCTGAGGTGGCTGCACCGCTGCTTTGTGAAGAGCTGGGAGATACAAAATACAGAAGGACTTGGTCTTCTGCCTCTCATCTGCCACTCCACAATTTTCCCCTCCCTAATAAAAGAGATGTTTTAAGCAAGAATACCAAAACACTTTAAGCCATTATCCCACCAGCTTGGATTACTAGACGGCAAAGCATGCCAACACTTCTAGTTCACAACAGAGGAGAAAAAACCTATCACCACAACTCTTGAGCACTGACCAGCAGTTTTCTCTCCCTCTCCTGCAGCAGCCCCTTCAATGACCGGCCCATCTGTAGGATCTGCCACGAGGGCAGCAGCCACGAGGAGCTGCTGTCCCCCTGCGAGTGCACGGGGACGCTGGGCACCATCCACCGCAGCTGCCTGGAGCGCTGGCTGTCGTCCTCCAACACCAGCTACTGTGAGCTCTGCCACTTCAGCTTTGCAGTGGAGCGCAAGCCCAGGCCACTGGTGGAGGTCAGTACGGCCCTCAAAGCTTAATTTTGGCTGGAAAAACCCTGCCTGCTTCCATGCAGGCATCGCTGGGCTCTGCAGCTCCAGTGGGGGTTGGTGGTGTGAGGGTGGGAGCTCAGGGGAAGGGTGGGATGTGGCAGAACCCCTCGTTTTGAAGGGAATCAAAACAAGGTATTAGGATGTGATCAGTGGGTTTGCTTCACTACAAACCTTGAGTGAAGTTTTTTTGCAGCAAATTCCTGGGATACCAGCCAGCTTGGTTGAGGGTGGGAGAGAGGTAAGTTGCAGTTTCTGTGGAATGTGGGGCAGGTCTCTGGACTCAGAATATTAAATAGAGGTCAGAAATTTATTTATTCATTATTGCTTTTGAGAGGTAACAAACTTAGGGGCCTTGGAAACCCAGTTTATATGTCAAGCCCAAAAGAAGGAGTTGTTCAGTGTCTGGCATGATTAGACATTTGTGACTCACCTTTTGGCCTATTCTTGCCTACGTGCCAGGTTTGACAGAGAATTGGACAATTGTCACTGAAAATTTAGTTTTTGCCAACTATATATAGCAGCTTCATTAAGTTTTCCAGGTTTTAGGGTATTTTTGGTCCTCAGGAAAAGAAAAGAAACTAAAACAAGCTCACTCTCTTGACACTGTTAATGACCTTTTTCCTCCCTTATTTTATTTTGGGAAAAGATGAAGCAGAGGTAGGGTTTCTTTTGGAATTAAAAGTTAATTAAAGGCATTTTGGCAAAATTAATGAGAAGGACCATTTTGTACCTGTTGGTGACACGGGCACCTGTATGCAGAGCTTGGGTTCACAATACACAAGTGTATTTCCTGTGCATCTTAATTGTTCCTTTAAATTGTGTCAAAACCAGTGGAAGGAGGTACAGTATTAAAAATGGGTAGGGGGAACCAGCATTTTGTTTTTCTCCTGCTCACAGAGAAGAGGACACAGGACAGAACTGACTGCTGGGAGGTGGGTCAGGGGATGAGCAGTTCAACACTACCAAAATTGCTTTAATTGAGATAGGCATGCACATTTTGTGTCTAAGATTTCATTCTTCCTCAGGATCCCCCCACAAAAGGTGCATGACGTGGAATTTGGCACAAGTCCTGCACCCAGAGCAGGTCCTGGCCAAATTGGATGTGGTGCTGGCCAGAGCTGCTGATGATGGAAGGAGTGGAAAGCAAAGCTGACCCTGCCCAGGATGGGGCACTGTGGTTGCTTGGTTGTTCCCTGATGAAATGAGGCTTCTTTTTGGCAGAAGCAATAATGAGTAGTAGAAACAGCAACAACGATATTTAGAGTAATAATGGTAAACCTGCCAGGTTTTTTCTGTTTGCTGAGGACAAATGAAAACCCTGAGCTAGTACATTTCTGATACATAGCTAAGTGGTTTTAGCATTACAACTCATTATTTTCTGACTTCTCAGCTACTTACACCCACAGTATTTCAGTGCAGAAATCAACAGTTGGGTGCAGTTGCTGGAAAGATCATAAAAACCCCCAATTCTTTGTGATCTTATAAAGGGAATATGTTTTCCGTTTAGAAGGAAAATGAAGATGTACTTTCAAAGCTGAGAGCAGCAGAGATGAGCTGTATGCCAGGGGACAAATTAAGCAGAAAGATAAACAAACTTCTTGATTTCTGTCAGTGTAATTTAAGTTTGTCCTGGATGTTTATACTTACTTAATACACAGTGCTTTGAAATGCAAAAACCTCCCCATGCAAATAATTGCAGCAAAAATCTGAAACTTCCCAAAGCAGGACTAAAGCAGATGCAAGTTGCCAGATTCCCTCGTCTTCTGTGTCCTAAAAGCACTTCCATGCCTGTTTCTCTGTGTTACCCAGAGGGTGAGGGCATGGAAGGAGGTTTATCAGGTGTAGTAGGACCTGATAAACCTCACAAAAACCCTGCTGAAACATTTGGATGAGTGACAAGCCAAAGTGGCCACCTGCTTTTAACACCTCAGAGTGTGTAGGTTTTGGAGTGGGGTGTCAAAGATCTCTTCATTTAGTGAGGTGATTAGTTCTCCAAAGATTCCCCTCACCTCGATAATGGAAAGAGTAAATGGTACTCCTCTCGCTGGAGGTGAGTGATGAGTTTTACCAATGCATTTTAGTAGGTCAAGAGGGGCTATTGTACTCATAAAGTGATTTATAGAGCACAGACTCTAAAAACCTATCCAGTAACTCCTCAACAGGCTCTATCTCACAGAGTGAGCACATCCCATTCAGGGATCAGTGACAGGTAGTAAAGAAATGCTCAAAGCAAGCAGTCATCAGATTGATCTTTTCTCCATGAGACATTCCAACTGGGGTAGGGGGGGAAATATGTATTTCTGACTATTCCAAAATGTATTATACTCTTTTTCAAAGGGGAAAAAACAAAACAAAACAAAACAAAACAAAAAAAAACCCAAAAAAAAAACCCAAAATCACAACAACAAAAAAACTCACCAAAAGCCCACCAAAACCACAAAATCAAACCAACCAACCAAAACAAAACAAAAAACCAAACAAACAACAACAAAAAAAAACCACAAATGGCATACCAAAAAAGCCCCCAAAAACCCAACAAAACAAAACATCACAAGAAAACAAAAAATAGCCATGCTATTATATTTTCTCCTCATCCTTTCACTAGATTGATCACAATTAAGCATGGGTGTGGAAAAAATCTATTTCAGTGGGAACAAACTGAGACACTTTACTAGGCACATTTCTTTTATCTAGAAATGTCATATGTGAATTTATTCCTGCTGTTAGCAGGAGAGGCTGCAGCAACAGTGAGCTTGGAATGGAGAAAGTGGTGTGGCTGATGGCTCAGCCAAGTTCCTTCCTCCCTCTGTCCATCCTTATGGAAGCAGCAGAGGAGTTGACCAGAGACAACTCTGTGTTTCTCCTTTGCCTCTGCTACAGGATTTGTATTTTTGTCGAGGGAGAATCTTCTCCGTGGAAATGCACAATGTGCTGACTCTTTGATGCCCAAAACCCAACCAGAGCAGCAGGCAACGGTGTTGCAGCCTGCCAGGCAGATCCAAACCCTCAACAATACATTTGTGATGCTTCTGGGCTCATTTCTGGTTTTGAACTCACATTATTCTCCCCAGAAAATTGTGTTTCCATACTGGGAATGTGCATCAGGCACTATGGTGGTGATTAAAACCCTCCTTTAGCGTTCACAAGAGTGCAAAATTAAGAGGAGTCAGGGTCTGAACCCACCCCTTCTACCTCCTGACAAAAGAAAGAGAAATCTATAATCTGGTGGCTGATATGCACAGAGCTGATATTCCTTGTGACAAGCCAGCAAGGACCTCAAAACCAGCACAGTGAAAACCCAAGCTGCAGTAACTCCATTACTGACTTTTATGGACCTTCCAGTTTGATATAAGCTGCCTTTTTAATGCAGCCAATCCACAGGAAAAAAAAAATCTACATTAGGAATGTGTGGTTATTATTCATGTAGCTGCTTTTGCTGTGTTTCAGCATAAAGATTAGTCAAGCTTTATGTAAGTATTATGTATCATCTTCATTTCAATTTCCACATTGCGTCTGTGTTGCTTCCATTTGGCTCAGTGGAGAAGCAGGCACAAAATGCAGCAGTACAAATATATTTATGTGCAATAATAAAATGTTAGAGAACAGCCAGCTACAAAATAAAAATGGTATAAGAGTATTATGTGACCATATAAGTCAGGCTTGTATTGCTTGTAAGTTACTTACATGTTTTAAACCAACCAGCATTTGGTATCTGTTGGTTCACTTTTTTTATTTTTTTTTTTTTTTTGCAAACAAACAGAAAGCACTTAATTAACAATACAAAGCTCATAAGCAAAACAGCGTGACTAGGAGAAAAAATAAAGTCAGGATAATTACAGCAATATTGGGCAGAAATTAACTTCAGTTTTTCCCTGCTGTGTTGCTGGCTATACAGCCTATATGAGTAAGGTAAAATAAATTTTAAAACCCTCTAAAATGTACACCTATGCATGAAGAATTTAAGATGAGCTTACATTATAAATTAAAACCTTATGAAGCCTTACACTGAAATATGAATTCATTTCCTGTGCAAGACTTTGAGTCACGATGTTTTTATCTGTTGGGATTATTTTTACTTATTTTTCCTCTCCACTGTTCAGTGAAGCAAGTCATTAGCATTAAATTACTGTAACGAACAGACACCGGATTTGCTGCAGGTAGTTTATAAAAGGATCACACCTCAAACCAGAAGGAAAATAAATGGTTCTTCAGCATAGTCACCTACCAGGAAAACTTCAATAAATCAAAGTTTGGAGGAACTGCAGCTGTCCATACAGCATATTAATGCTGGGAGCAGATAATTAAGGTGTGTCCATCCTCTTTCCTTTCTTGACCCAAAAAGGGCAGATTAAAAGGGCAAGGTGATAGAGACATTTTTGTATGTAATTGTCTTCTGCTGTGAAAATAATCCCCCTAAGACCAACTCATGCAGGGAGAATTTGAAGCAGCCATGTAGATTTCCAGTAGAAGTATGTCTGAGTTAAAGAAAGTATTAAAAAAAAAAAGTAATAAACTTCCCAGCACAGATTCAAAACCATAAACTCTCCAAGATGCATTTTTTTAAATCTATTTATTCCTAATGGAGTGAAATCCAGAGGCTAAACCATTATGCTCTTTCTCCTTTAAAGAGAAATTAGGTAGCTGTTTTATGTTCCCTGCAGAAAGGATTTGCTACAATGCACAAATCTTTCTTATAGTACTGGCAGCAAGAGTGCAAACAACAGCAACCCACTCCCCATAAAAAAATAAAAATTTAAATCACTTGTCAGTGAACAGACTAGTTCAAACAATCACATCTGTAACTGCTCATTCCTAAATTTATAACAATCAAGGGCAAAAAAACTCGAGGAAAGTTCCCAGGAGAAAGTAACTGAACAATTAGATTTGCTTCAAAAATGAGCAAGATAGGGGAAAGATGCTGGAATTTCCAAAGGAACGTCTTCTTTTCTTCTAGACAATGGGCT